AACTGAGTACAAATGAGCAAATAGGATTATTTATACACAAATCACATTTCTATATTAATGAATGAGTTCTGCAGGCAATGAGTACCTCCTGTGAGATCAGGAGCTCCTAGTTTCTGCAGTGGGAGATCTTGGTGACAGGTATGACAACAGGACACTGAAGGCCCCACAGGATGCTCCAAGTACTCTGCAGAATCTGGTATAAATTCTGCTTGAATTTCCAGGAGAAAATTCTTGCAGTGTATATAAGTCACGATGGGACAGAGACACAGAAAAAAAGTCAAGTTCAACTATAGTAAAAGTCTGAAATTTAAAATATTATAAAAACGTTAAATTCTGATTGCTCCAGACTTTCAGTCTCAGTGAACATTAAATTACAATGTTGAAGAACACTCTGTAACAGATACCTAACTGGCCTAGTTTTTAAAGATATCAGTCATCTTTTGTTCCTTTCAAATTTGGTAGCAACTGCAGATGCTCAACATATCTGACATAAGGTCCCAAGTTCTCAGATCTTAAACAAGATTATTTTCACTGCCACAGCATACAGCAATTTACAATTAGAAAGAAGTTTATTATGACCATTATGTTTCTTCTTTTGTCATAATGACAAGAAGAAGCCGTAAGATGCTTTACATTTTATTGGAAAGGGGAAAAAAAGAGTCAACGTTCCCCAAAAGGATGCAAGGTGCATGGAGTCATCCAGGCTACTAATGATTTGCTCAAACACTAGCAGAGAATATATAAATTCTTAACTCTTAGCAAAAAATATTGATTGTGTTATAACATATATGATACAATTTCATTTGTTAACATTTCATTCATTAACTGCACTGTACAGAAATTTGTCCATGCTAAATACAAGCCCTGGACTAGATACACAGAACAATTTAAACGCACTTTTTACATCCTATATGCACAACCATTTCTTAAGTTAAAAATATGCACACTACTTCTTTTACATAGTGTGTATATGGCTTACATATTCAATGACAGGATTTCCACCTTTTGGCATGCCCTTACCGCAGGGCTCAGAGCTTGCACTGTCCACAGCTTAATTTTGATTGCTCCACTGTCAGAAAAGAGACAGTCACCAGGTATGGATGCGTAAGGAACCCTCAGTCTAGGGTGATAGTTTTATGATTACTTCTTCGATCAGGACAAACTGTGCCCTTGTTGAGGTTGAGCCTGATGCCTGTTGAGCTCTGGTAAAATCCCTGAAGCAGCAGAGGAATAGCACGTAAGTCTCAATCCTTCATCAGCCTCTGCACAAGCGGAATGCCACTACCCCCACAAGTCCTCTTCAGAGTGGACCATGGTTGACAGTAAAGACTTTTTCAGTCAGTGAGGTAATAACCACAGGGTCCGAAAAGGAGAACTGAGAGCGCAGTGACTCAAGCCTCCTGAGCGCGTACAACACGAAGGGGAGCATGCAAGTTTCCTGGCAGGTTCGAGCACAGAGAAATGAGGTTGTCCGCAGCTGCATGGGATGCCCAGGCAAGCCAGGAGGGGTCACGTGCAGCTTGAGGGAAGCGGAGATGAAAATTATCTCTTTCTGGGCACAGTTTGGGTTGGAGGGCTCATTCTCTGCAAGGCTTCTTGCAGGGGTAACTGCCTGCGTGCTCTGCTTTCACTGCCTCTCAGAGAAAGTTGGCCTGGTGTTTTCTTTTAATGAGACAAATGTTAGCAACGATCTTGCAGGATCCATGCTTCATTTGAGACAAACTGTGCTGTAAGGCCTCAGGGTCACCTTACAGTTCTGCCTGAGAGGCAACTGAACTGAAGCAAAATTTCACATAACATCTATTTCCGTATTTGTCACTGTCTCTTTTGCCGCACGAAACAATAAGCACCAACTTCATGGTAGGGCTGTCACCATGGCTGATGTCTTCCAAAATACTGTAGGGCTGAGAATGTTTGAATTTTTAATATTGGATGCTACTTAATTAATTTTAAAGAGTTATTTCAAATACTGATTTGTTACACAGCAGTTCTCTCCATATAACAGCCATGCAGGCTGGTCAGGATAACTCTACAACTTCCTATAACAACACTCTCTATACTTTTATTTCCAGATATGTTAAGGAAGCTAACAAGTAGGACTTTTATGTTGCATGTAGCATGGTTGCATGAACAACTATCTACAATAATGTTTCATTTTGACTTTCCATTTCCATTGGATGCCAGTAGCAGTGACATGTAACAGCTATCCCAGGCAGATGATAAATGTTGTGTGGTTAATTGGAAATGTCTGGTGTCAGAGATGCAATAAAGCGATGTCCAACTTTGGCAGAAGAATTATTTTGGCTAGTTTAAGAAAGCAGTATAGAAGAGGAAATAGCAACAACAAATACAACTGAAATCTTGCAAGTTGTTAAGTGCTTTGAGTTGCCAGCTCAGGGTTTACATTTTACACTCTTGATCATTTTGTCCAATCACTCTCCACAGAAACAGAATGAACCAAGAACAAGTTGATGGATAACAGCCTCTGAGAGCACACGGTAGGAACAGCTAGAGTTCTTTTCTCCTGCAACAGAGGTCAAATGAAAATTCATCAACAATAGATTTTTAATACTACTACTTCCAGTATTTAATATGCATGAATTGAGGATGTTTCAGTTCATGATCATTTAGTCTGACAATTAAGGATTCCAGGATGTAAAAGTATTGTTCTTCCCTTCATTAAATGGCTTTGATAAATGGCTTTGATAAATGGCTTTGAAGGGGAAATAGTAAGTAACTGGGGTGTACCATGTCCACACTTCAAAATTTTGTAATAAAGCCACAACTAGAACAAAGAGGATAATAACAGCACTAGGTGAGTCTTTACTGTGTAAAAGTCTCCCCATTATAAGAAAGAAATGACAAAATTACCTGTCCTGTCTGAAATGTCAGAAGCTTTTATGAAATGGCAAAGCTAGTTCTCTACCAGTGCTTCTTTCTGCTCAGTGCTTCTCAGTATATCTTCCGACATCTTACAGTGTTTAGGCTCACCTGGAAGACAGAGAAATATGATTGGGAACCTGAGTGAGGAATTTAATCAAGTTAAGCGAATACACAGACAGGAACTTTTTCCTCCTGACTTTTATAAGGTTAAAATGAGATTTCAGTCACTGCTTCCTTTAATTGCTTTCTCACTGAAGTAAGCATGGGATTGAATTAACTAATCATTATGGTTTATCCATAAAGCAAAAGATAGCATGAAAGCAATAGATCACAGCATGAAATAAGAAAAAAAAAAAGATGTTTACATGCGTGTTTATAAAGTGGGTTAGGGTTTGGGTTTGGTTTATTTTATCATCCAACATATTGAAAGTCAAAATTCACCCTCTGCAGAGAAGTGATGTTTAAATCTTCTTTAATGTAGGCTTTCAAATGGAGAGTAAGCTTCTCTCAGATAATGAAAGATGCCAGTGTTCTAAGAATTCAATTAATTTAATCAGGTAGGAGCAATGACACCAAGTGACACAAGCAGCTTTCGAACTAAGTGATACAACATGGATTTCAAACAAGCAATGATAATACTAGCTGTGCTGAAACTATTCCTTCAGTAACTTTGCATGAGTACACTTGAGGAAACTACAAACTGAGCCAGCAAGCATGTGGAGAATATAGCAAACTTACAGTGCTATTTGCTAACTATGTCATAACTTCTCAGTTTCAACCAGTTGACTGAGTGATCCCATCAGCGATTAATAATGCTGAACTGACAAATGTGAAAAAGAAGTCTCAAAAGTGAAGAAGATGAGCTAGGAGAGGCATAAGAGTAAAATATAAAAGTAAAAATACAGGCAGAGAAAGATTTCTGAAGAGGCAGAAAATAACGGTACAGGCAGCTTAAAGGGAAAGAGGACGATGTGTGATCTGAAAAGAACATTGAAAGATGGTGAGTTAGTTGTTCAAGAGGTTCACAGCTTAGAAAAGAGAAAGGGAAGAGAGGAAAGGGAGCTCATGAAAATAAGGAAAGAAAAAAATTAATAGCTATGAATTCACCAGGGCTTCACTGTAAAGAAGTAAGAATTGCTACTAATTTTCTCCTGGTTTCATTGCCATGAATGTTGGCAGAGTGGGTGCTGCCCACTCTGTAATGCAGCCACTAGCAGATAGGCCATATTCCCCCAAGCAGCATTCTTCACTGTCCCCCTTATTGTACATCAATTTAGTGTAGGTGGAATATAGACAACCAGCTCTCCAGAGGCTTTTAAAGTCTCAAAATTTGACTAATGTGTTAGAACAAGAATGACCCCAGATCTTTCAGCCTGCAGGGTTTTTTTTGGAGGGATTTAGCAAAATTTCATTATCATCCATAAAAACAAAAAAGGGGATGGGGAGAGGTATAAAAATAGAACCTACTTATTTAAATATTTAAATTTTATACTTGACGTAGAGCTTTAGGAGTGGGATAGGAGTAGTTTGTGGAGGACCTGGAACAAAAACTTTGTATGTTTAATTTTCATGAAAACTAAACATTAACTTCCAAACCATACATAACTTTCTTCCTGGCAATGCATCAGGTTTTTTACATGATAAACTCACGCTGTTATCTTAGAATCCCTATTTTCTTTTCATAAATACATTGTTTGCTCTTTAAATATAGTCTTCCCTCCACCATTGTCCCACGCGTGAACACAGATGACCTCCTTTAGTACCAGGATCCTATTTACTGTTGCTCTGTTTAGCCACACAGTGACCACAAGCTAAAAAAACAGGCACCACAGCGACCTGTGCCCACTTTGCATGGATGAAAGGCTTCAACCGTCGGCTGAGCACTGCAGTACTGAACGGTCACTAGCATTGGCCTGGCATGGAAGATTACCTGATGCCACTTGCCTTACCATGAATGAAACTGGCATGTTGCTGATGTGGATCTGTCTACTGCTATTTAACCTGGTTATCCCTCAGAGTCTTTCAGTTGCTGATTGTTGATGATGCTGAATGCTTTGTACAACTTGATGTGACGGGACAGTCCTCTGCTCTCATATAGATTGAAGTTACTGGTAATCTGTTTTATCACAGATTTATTATCTCCTTTACATTTTAATAGTAAGGATTAATGTGGCTACCATCATGAGTGTTAAGTTAAAAGTGTGCCAATTAACATTTATAAATCATTGAAACACGGAGTTTTTTAATTAAACATAAGCACTTTTTAAAATTAATGTTCTAATTAATAAAACACTCAGGAGAAGAAGAAAATCATCACTTAAAAAAAAAAAATCACCTTATAATAGTTCCACTTACTCTTATAACATTCACTTAAATTCAGGTGAGATGATGGAAAGGATAAAGGTATTGTGGAGAAAAATGACATTCAGTCACAACTGGAGTTCTTTTAATAATGACCCCTCAGCTCTTCCTTCATGCTGACCAGGACCCAGGGCAGAGCTAATCCTGTTAATAAAATGCAATGGTCTACAAGAAGTACACCTAGAATGATATGTGACACAACAAGAGGAAAGCAATCCTTTTTTTTTTTTTTTTTTTTAAAAGGAAAAGCCCTCATCATAGTAAATCCAAATACTCAGTGACAGTCCCCAAGAATGCAGATAGATCATCTTCCTGTTTTACCCATCTCTCTTGTAATTCAATCATTTACTCACAGAAAACCAAACTGAGTTTCTGCTTTTTATAAAGGACAGAACAATGACAGCTAACACAAAATTTCAATCTGAGTAACTAAGTCGATTTTCTTCTTACCTTCTGTCTCATTCTCCCAGCCCTGGTGCCTGCATGTGCTTACTTCTCCTCCCTGCAATTCAGCAAACACTCTGGACATCATTTTAGCTTTCTACCCCTCTTCTTCAGTACAGAATGACACAGTTAGAAAAATCTCACACGGAGAGTGCTAATAATGGCCTGATAGATGTATAGTGCTTCTTAGAATAGTCAAATAACTCCAATTTGGGAACCAGGGAAAATTGTAAGGCCATGGACTTGTGCATGTTACTTTCTGCTTGCTTAAAGTGACATTCCACTGAAATTATCTGACCTTGATTAGAAGAGTCCTGTCTGGATTTTCTGGCCATCAATAGAAGTGCAAAAGCGAAAAGGGGGGATGCTACCTATACTGTATCTCCCTTCTGTGCTGAGTGCTACTGCATCACACAATATACTCTCCCTTGAACATCCCAAGCATCACCTATACAGACAAAAAGGAGGGGGGAGTGAGAAAACAGAGACTGCTGTTCTATTTGTAGTTATAAGGTTTCTACACATACTGCAGCAATGACAACTCTTGCAAAAACACTAGTATTAAATACCTACATTTAGACAACAACAATGACAGTTTAATGGATTCCCTCCATTTAGAATAACATTAATCATTTCACCACTCTGAAAGACAAATGGGAAATATTTTAGCCTGAGTTTTCCCTTTGGTATTGAATATTGAAAACTATTCCAATACTAAATGCCTCCATTGCCTTTTGGGTTTTTACAGCTTTTTAATACAGTGGCACAATCTCTGCAGAGGTACTTAAATCTGCTGCTGAAACCCTGTATTAATCCATTTCCTCCCAAACATCAGGGACCTGCATCTCATTCTGTGCATTACAGTAATGTAAATATCTGCAGTATGCTTCTTTAATTGGCAGGCACATAAAAAGATCACTGTATATTTTATTTACCAATATATGCTATGACATAGTTGAGAAATTAATATTAGGTGTCCTTTGTGGTTTATTAGAAGCATAAAGTTCCCTGAAATGCTTAGTGCTGACTTGAAAGAGTATAGTATTTAAAGAATATATAGATAGGTTTCTCACTATATTGTAACATGTCTGGACTCTCCTCAGGAAAGAAATTTTTAAGAATAAGATGACACAGTCCCTCTGTAAATAATTTTAGAAGACCATAAAATATTCAAAATATTTTTCCTGTATCATTTAAATATTGGGAAAATAGGGAAAATTCAAGAATGAAATATTATTAAAGTATAAACCAAACTATTTAATAACATAAAATCAAAATGTAAATGACATTGTGACTGACTCATAGATCCCTATAATGGAAGAAGAAGATGGGCAAGGGTGATATGCCTGTCAAGCTCAGGAGATAATGCAAGGGCGACTGACTGGAGCTTTTGCAAAGAAAGCTGACAACATTAACACAAAGGGGAGTGGAGGGTGGCCTTTCGTTTATATAAACACTTGTATCAGCTGAATGGATCCATAGACTATGTCACAGTTGAGAGGATCAACCAGTGGTGTACGTTTGACCTTGTGTTCACTAGAAGAATGTGACTGTCTCCCTGAGTTAGCCAGGCCACCCCAATATCAAGTACAAAAACTAAACAACTAGCAAAAGAACTCCGAAGAGAGCAATGGGCTTGAGCTGGCTTCAACCCAGTATGCCTTACTGGTGACTAGGGGGACACTGAATCCTGACAGTGAGCACGTTCTAGAGACTGGTAATGGGACTCACACTGACACTGTGATTGAGCTGCATATTGTGATTGCTCTATTTTCCTAAGTATAACTTACATTACATTTGTAGGGTGCTATCAGTACATTTTGTATAACTATGCTAAATCAGAAATTCCATGTAACATCAACTGTCCTCAGATAAATTTGATATTAAACATTATGGCTTTCACGTGTGGAACATCTAAACAAAAAAGAACCTGGTCAGAGAGTACTGGACTTTGACATTAATATGCCACAGAAACCCAGCAAATTCAAGCTCTCCATTTAATTGGGCATTTATCTATGCAGGGAGATGAACACAAACAATCTTTGAAGGAGATGGATACGAGTAAATTCAACATATCACAGTGAACAGATGTTTCACACAAAAAAGAGAGCTAAAAATGCCTTGAACTGTCAGATGCCTTTAGAAATACCACTTAACAAATATCCTTATTCTGTGCGTTCTATGCACTCTACTAAAAATCTGTGATAGTGTAAAACAGAAAATCAGCTTCATCTGTAGAAAATTCCCTGCCTTAGAAAACAAAATACCTTTTTCTAAAATAAGAAATCTCTGTTCTTATATAAAATGTGGAATGTAAAGATTGACAAGGCAACTGAGTACACCAACTGCATGCTGAGTTGTATATGACCTATCAAACAGCATTCTTTTTTCGTTGGTTAGCCATCTAAAGTTCCCCAGTACACCACAACTGCCTTGTGCACAGTTTGAAAGATGTAAGATGCAGCTTTTCCTAGTCTGTCCCTCGTCCAGGAGATGGGAAACTTTTCTAAGGCACTGAAATTGCAAGTTGGGCTTTAATACAAAAATCGGTGCAAATATACTTATCAAAAGACAAATATGTCAGTTATTAGACAACTTCAAATGCTGTGAAATTAATTTTAGTGTAAATATTTTGATTTAGGACCCTAAATTCACCATCTGTTATCTCTGATGGAAAAAAAAAAAAACATCAACAATAAAAGCGTGGAGTGTTGGAAGTGGAAAGGCAAAATAAGTGGGAGTTCTCCATAAAAAGCATTCTTGAGAAATATGTCAAGTCATATACTTATGTCTAAGCTAAGCCTTATAAGCACTTCAGTGTTGCTGCTCAGACAATGCCATACTTCTGGCACAATATTGCAAGACTCACTGTCATAAAAGCATTAGTGAGTTTAGCATTTTAATTAGAAGGAAAAGAAGCATCGTTATATGCCTGGATTATTCTTACTACCCTAATACCTCAAAGCTTAGTCTAACAATAAGCAAATTGAGAAAATAAAATTAAAAAGGCTTTCTCTTACTTTGATATTGCTTGGCCATCTTGCACTTGATACTGACTTACAATCACCAGATACTAAATCATAGCCAACTTATGATAAAATGCTTACATTCTAAAACAATATAAGGGTTTTCTGGGTGCTCCCCTTGTCCTGCAAACTACAGTCAGGAGACTGATCTTTTGGAGTAAGAGAATGACATAGTCCCATTCTACTACAGTTAGCAAATTCCATCTACTTAAAATTAACTCTAAAATTCACATTACATTTAGTAAATGGTTGTGGTTTTTTTTTTAATAATCATATTAGATGCCTAAACTAAGGAGGTGAGGGTATTTTAATAGCATAAGAATAATTACCTATTCAAAGAGAAAATGTTAGATAATTCTGTTTTGAAAGTTTACCTCATTCTCCAGTAACAAACTGCTATTTAATTACAAATGTGTATCTTTGAATTATTTTAAAATAATTCTCCCAATTTAACTAAAAGTCTTGGTACCTTACGTAAAAGATTTTCTACTAGACATCAACTAGTTCATATCAGGAAGATGATATTTTTTTGACATCAAACAGCTTTTATTCAATGGTTTTAGGACACTAAAACCATGCTGGTTTTACACATGCCTGAAGAAACTGTCGTATGCCGGGGGTTTGCCCAACACCTTATTTCAGTCACATTACTGCCAATGTTTTGACATGGAGATACCAGACAGTGCTGCTGCTTCACCCTGGACAGCTTCATTATATTGACTGGTGCTCTGTGATGAAGTATTACCATTCAGTGGGTCTGTATTCTGTGTTTCTTGCTGGGCATCGGTGAGATCTTTCTGGTTCGGATCAGAGTTAGTGCACTTTTCTGAGTTGGGTTCATCACTCAGAGGAGTGTCCAAAGAGACTACTTGTAGAACGATGGATCTGGGAGGACAGGTTGTACCATCGCTTCCCTGACTACTCTCATTTTGTATCCTTGTTGTCTCTTCCTGTAACTGTGCATCTGTGGAATTTCTGCTTTGTTCTTTTTCCTTTTCACGAACATCTTTCACAAGTTCTTCTACAAAGAGGGAACAAAATATGTGTATTAGATAAGAAGGATATGCCACAATTGTTTGATTTCAGAGTAGTGACTGATAGAGCTGCACATGAGAACATTGTGAACATTGACTTTCTTCATGAGGACATGTGCATGGGTGTGCTTAATATGAGTCAGATTCTGCTACTGGTGGTTACACTATTGCAACTGAACCATAGTGGTCCACTTTCTGGTTTAGTCTGCAATATGTACCTCTTTTTTGGCCATAGTACAGAGCAAGGAGCATCATCAGACACACTGTAAGGACTGGAGCAGGAGGACCTCATCCTGCAGGCGCATCCCTGCAGTGGTGTTTACCTCCAGGACTAGGAGGAGCAGAGCTCATCAGATCTGCGACAGAGAAATGACATGGAGGGGAGCACCTTGCTGGGGATGGAGGAAGCATGAGAATTAAAGGGAAGCCCTGAAGGAAGTTGGCCTATCAGTCTGGAAAGGTCCAAAATATCAGCTGATACAGAGCTTCATCTAGAACAAGTTGTAGAACATCACATGCATGCAAGCCAGTACTGCTTGCCATCATGGCTAATGGCAAATGCAGAATGGAAAGGAATATATATGAGGCATATTATGCTTCAGGGAACAGCAGCTATAGGGGAAAATAATGTTTGTGGAAGGCTCTATTCCTTCTCTATTGCGGAGACTTGGAGAACAGTAAAAATGAAATGGCCCAGGGTAAAAGGAGACAGAACAGAGCAGCACAGAGAGGTGATAATAGGACTAGGAGATGAAGAAAACAGACAATGGAAAACTTGTGCTGGAGGTTGAAAAGTCTGATAAAAAAATAACTGTACCTTCATGGAGGGCATATTTGTCTTTCTATTAGAATCTGCATTTCATAAATTCTGATTTTAGATTCTGTATACTACTATAGACGATACAAAACTCTACCAATTGAAAAAACGAAAATATTGCAGCTTGAACACCTGAACAAAACAGCTTCCTGATACTGCATAAAATTTCAAACTTGGCTGCGCACATTGTATTAAGGAATGAAACCAAACACAGAGTTATTTATTGAGTTCAACTGGCAGCTCCCAGAAACTCTGGATGTGTGTGACTAGTCCAAATCCTGACCAAAACTGGTTGCATATGACAGCTGAAAGACAGCTCAGTCCATAATCACCCATCTACCACAGTCAGCATTTGGCATTTGTGTCACCTCACTTTTCTGAATCCAAAAAAAGTTCCCTCTGAAGTAGAATCTGGCCTGTGCAATGGGACAGAAAGGAACATCTCCAAACAGGAACTGATGCACAGAAGTTAAATAATTTCCCTCTGTTGTCAGTTCTTCTACTTCCTGGCATACTTTTTAAAAAATCAAGAATTTTCCAATTTGAGCCAATTTCTACGTAGAAATAGAGAGCTGCTCTTTTTGGACTCCAAATTTTCTGAAACTTGGACAGGTACTCTCTTTCTACAGACTTTTTTGTTAACAGCTAATGCAACTCTTTCTCACAAAGAAACGGATAGGCTAAAGACATTAAGAAATAGATATGCAACTTGAAGCAAATCTGATGTTCAATCTAGATTAAAACATCTCAGACCTCACAGCAGCCTTGCAGTATCTGAAGGGAGGCTATAGAGATGCTGGGGAGGGACTCTTCATTAGAGACTCTAGTGACAGGACAAGAGGTAACGGGTTAAAACTTAAACAGGGGAAGTTTAGACTGGATATAAGGAAGAAGCCCTTTCCTGTTAGGGTGGTGAGGCACTGGAATAGGTTTCCCAGGGAGGCTGTGAATGCTCCATCCCTGGCGGCGTTCAGGGCCATGTTGGACAGAGCCTTGGGTGACATGGTTTAGTGTGAGGTGTCCTTGCCCATGGCAGGGGGGTTGGAACTAGATGATCTTAAGGTCCTTTCCAACCCTAAATATTCTATGATTCTGTAATTCTGTCATTCATGGTATAATCTACCTACCTAAGGCTTTTGTCCCAAGAAACTGATTTACATACCATATTTGCCTCCATATGGCAGAGCTACAAGCATTTTCCTTAACTTTATAAAAAGACTGAAGGAAATTCCAAGACAAAGTATTTCAGATGCTGGTCACATCCACTAGTAAGTTGAGGAAAGCAAAGTTGAACTATAAACACACATAAAACTGTAATATTAACTCAGCTCACACTACAAAAGGTGGCTTTTTTAACCTGGAAGCTGGTAAGAACAGACAGTATTTTTCTCACAGAATGGTGTTTTAGGAAATTCTAACCATAATTCAGATTTGTCTTGGTGTAACGGCGTGGCTGACCACTTTATTCTCATTTAGAAGTCTCAGAATATTCATATAGAAAGCTGATTATCTAAACTTAAAATTGCTTCCCTTCACTCACTGCTAAACATACACTGGCAAATGAAGATTAAGTTTAATCAGAACAATGCTGATGGCCTGTTCTTAATTTCTGTCATGCTGGTCTTTTATTTCTGTGACCGCCCTTGATATCATCTCAAGCATGGCTGTTTAAGGAGATCTAAAATACAACCAAACTCTCACTAAGGTCTACGCACGTCTGATGGATGTAGCTTTGAAATAGAGGGTCTCTGCACAAACTTACACCTGATAACATCCTAGTTAAAGTCATATCTATTGCATTTAAACTGCTGCAATGCTATTTGCTCCAAAAGTGAGTGAGTAGAAAAGAATATGTGAGGAAAATAGTATCTACTCTAAGCATGAAAAAATACTGTGGAATTTCAAAATCAGTGGAACTAAACCTGTTGTTAAACATTAGTTGGTTTATGCTGATAATCACCACTCCATAATGATCAAATTGCAAAGTCACTGTCAGTTAAATAAGCTTGAAGGAAATTATCTATATAATCACCACTCCATAGTGATCAAATTGCAAAGTCACTGTCAGTTAAATAAGCTTGAAGGAAATTATCTTGTCTGCTTCGGAGGAGTTTCTCCAGGGCAACTAGGAGGAGTGTCTGGTAATTGTGACTGAGACTGGAAAGCCTGAAGTACAAAATCCTCTATGACAATATCACAACATTCATTAAAATCGTTTTTCTTGGTATTAAGTCTCTCATCTGCTGGACATCTAAGACTATGTTTTATCTTGCTTTGCTCCACTCAGCTTCAATCCCTATAAAATCTACTGCCAAAATGATGAAAAATACTGGATTCTTATGGTATATCAGCCACTTGTGAAATATGCTATATGTGCTGGAAAAATACAGATTTCTTCTTTCCATAACAGCTAATAGCTGTAGTCTATATTATATAGGACCTTTATGTTGCATAAAAGAATTGGCATTTTCTATCATTGCTGCTGCCATATCATTATTGAACAGAAATACTTAAGAGCCTTTAAAAAAGTCTTGAGACCACGCGCTGGTTTTGGCTGGATAGATTCAACTTTCTTCATAGCAGGTAGTACAGGGCTGTTTTTTGGAATTGTGCTGGAAACAGTGTTGATAACACTCAACACAAGCTGAGCAGTGCTTACACAGAGTCAAGGCCTTTTTTGCTTCTCACACCACCCCACCAGTGAGCAAGGCTGGGTATGCAGAAAGCATTGGGAAGAAACACAGCTGGACAACTGACACCAACTGATCCAGGGGGTATTCCATGCCACATGATGTCATGCTCAGCATATAAAAAGGAGGAAAGAAGGTAGGGGGGGACATTCAGAGTCATGTGTTTATCTTCCCAAGTAACAGTTAAACATGATGAAGCCCTGTTTACCTGGAGATGGCTGAACACCTGCCCGCCAATGGGAAGAAGTGAATTAATTCCTTCTTTTGCTTAGCTTTACCTATTAAACTACCCTTATCTTAACCCATGAGTTTTCCTGTTTTCTGACGATTCTCTCCCCCATCCCACTATGGGGGAGTGAACAATCAGCTGTGTGGGGCTTAGATGTCAGATGGGGTTAAACCATGACAGTCCTTTTTGGCACTCAGTGTGTGGCTGAAAGGCTTCAAGGTAACAACAGGTTTGATTGGAATGTGCTAGATTGAATTATAGCTGTTACAGCTGTTTAGCTATTAATTAGCAGGCTCCTGTGCTTGTCATGGGGATAGCTTGCCTTACTGTATATTAGTCTAGGGCTTGTTAGTGGCTGCTTTATGCTTTCACTGTTTGCTGTGCTGCTGTACTGCTTATCATGTTACTGTGCTGTGCCTGGGCACATTTTGGTAACAGTAATGGCCATGTGCCTGGACTGGGAGAGCATTCCTGCTGCTCCTGTGCTGCTGTACTAGGTGGAACCCCAGTGTGAACTTGAGTTGAAGGGACTGTGACCTGTGGATGAGTCCACATGGTTGAGTAGAACACCCTAAAGTGTCAGTGGCCATGGATAAGACCATGCTAGAGCAGGTACATCTCAAAGTCTCTGTAACCATGGTAATGTCTGTGCTTTCAGGTATACCTCTGAAGGCACTATGGCCCATGGATAAGTCCTTGCTGGAGAAGGTACACCCTGAAGCATCTGTGGCTGCGGATAAGTCCACGCTGCACCAGGTACATCTTGAAGCATCACTGGATGTGCATGATGCCATGCTGGAGCACCTCAAAGCATGTGCCCATGGCTAAGCCCATGGCAGAGCAGGTACAGCCCTGGAGGGACTGCAGCCAGGGACAAGGCTATGTTGGAGAAGGTTTACTTCTGAAGGGACTGTGACTGCGAGTGCCATGCTGGAGCAGGTGTCTCTCCGAAGGCATTGTGGCCCAAAGAGAAGGCCACATGGAACAGGGGCATCTCAAAGCAACTGTGGCAGTAGACAACCCTATGCCACAGCAAGTATATCTCTGAAAAGACTGTAGCACACAGACAGAGCTCTGTTTGAAGCAGGTACACCTCTAAGGGACTGCAGTCTCTGCATAATCCCAAGTGAGAGCAGGGGCAAGGTGAATGCAATTTCATTGCAGTGTTAAACGCAATGGTCTAGTCCAAAGGACCAGGGCTGGGGATTGTAATGGAAATAACTTTTAACCCAGGACTTGAGTTGTATGTTA